CCAGAGACAATCCAGCACATAACAGCAGGGTGCAAGATGCTAGCAGCAGGGCATACATGGAACGCCATAACCAAGTGGCCGGCATAGTATACAGGAACATCTGTGCCGAGTTTGGCCTGGAAGTCCCGAGGTCAAAATGGGAGACGCCCCTAGAGGGTTACAGAATGGCCAAACTAAGATCCTGTGGGACTTCCAGATGCAGACGGACAAACTGGTGGTGGCTAACCGAATAATGAAAAAATGAATTTGTACATGAATTTACAAATGCATAATTTATTGTACAATTCATTATTTAAGCACAGAATCCTCCACACATCCAAGACTTACAAAATTCTGCTGGGGGATAAAGATTTTATTTACTTGGGTATCTGGCAGACAAGGGTGGTGTGACGTATACGTGCTTCCCTAGAAGAAGGCACAGCATGCATTTTCAATGATACCCAGCCTTATCTATCCATGAAACCAGATAACAAACCAACTAATCAAACTGCTCTGTGTCTACCCACATACTTACCCTGTATGGCATTACTTTGGCCTCCAGGATCACCGTGAGGACATGTCCTTCCATATGCATATTAAACAAATATATTGCATTGTTTTCTTGCAAACTTAGAAAAATTCTAAGTGTGGCTGAAAATTTACTTCATGTGTTTATTATTTCTGGGCTGGACTATTGTAATTCATTTTTATCATTTCTCCTACAAAATCCCCGAAAAACCGTCACTTGAGCCAAAGTGGTACCGAGCAGGGCTAGAAACAGATTCGTTGCATACTGGCCTCTCGTCACTGGCTCTGCACTGAATCAAATTTAAAATCCTTCAATTCCTCAATTACAAGGTCTTGAGATAGCATCCCATCTTATCTTAAACATCTTATAGTACCCCAAAAGAGCAATTCACTCTCAGACTGTTGCTTCACTTGTGGTTCCTAAAAGTAGTACGTGAGGCAGAGCCTTTGGGCTCCACACCCATCATCTGTGGAACCATTTTTGATTAGGGGGAGAGCCAACCCCCCAGTTTTTAAGATTAGGTTCAAACTTTCTTTTATGATAATATTATAGTAAGGGCTGGATCAAATAACCCTGAACAGGCCTGGGATGCTGGGGGCTTCCCATGACTCTTGTCTTTGCTCACCTCTTTTTACTCTCCATATGTTTACAGACTACTTATTAATCTCTGGCTGTCTTCCACAGCTTCCTTTCCCATCTCTCCCAGTGTGCCACAGTACATGGTGACACAGAACCCTGGTTCTGCCATGGGTTGCTTCCTGTTAAAAGGGAGTTTTTCCTTCCCACTGTCACCATGTGCTTGCACATAGTGCGTTGTCTGATAGTTGTCTTTTTTCTTGTGGCCGAAATGTGGTCTTTGGGGTCAGGGTCATTCACAAGGATGAACGCGATTGGGATCGCTGGTTATGCCCTCAGGCCTCCATGGGCAAGGGCCCTTCATGGTGACATGGCGAGTATGCGATGTTGACTATTGGGTAATCTGATCGGACAGGAGCTACTCAAATATGTCACCTCAATCATCTTAAAGCATGAAAAGAGGCTGAAACCGCTTCTCTGGTGAGCCTAATTAAGGAAAGAGATGAGTTGGGGCTGGAGGTACCAAATTCAAACATTCCTGCAGTTTTTCATGACACCCGATATAACCGAGGCCTACTGGCAGATGTCTTGTCTGCAGAGTCCAAGGAAAAGATGTCCCTCTCCCCTCCGTACAGTTTGTACCAATGGGTCACACTTCTGTTCGGCTTGATCGGAACTCCAGCCACGTTCCACCACCTCATGGACCGGCTGTTGAGTCCACACGCTGCACATGGTGCCGCCTACCTGGACAATGTGATCATCCATAGTGACACCTGGGGGGAGGATGAGCAGTGGGTTGCTGCAGTCCAGGCGGGGCGCACTGCCAACCTGTAGAAGTGTGCAGTTGGACGGAGGGAGGTACAGTATCTATGATACCTCTTGTGAGGCGGGCAGGTGTGGCCACAGATGGTCAAAATGGCGACCATCGCATCGTGCACGTGTTCCAAGACAGAAAAAGAGGTGAGGCAGTTCCTGGGGCTGGGAGGTTTCATGCCAGGATACTCCCACGCCTCAGTCGGGCAGTGTGTGGTGGGGATGTGGAGTGGCAGAGCAGTGGGCTCAAGCGGCAAGGCCAGCTGACGGGGCAGCTGTTCCTTTTCTCCCTAATTAGTGTATTTCCCTTTTTAGTGACACCAGGACAGGAAAGTGTTGGAGTCAGCTGGAAAGCTGAGCAGACATGGAGAACATTGGTGCTGTTAAGTAGAGAAGAGTAAAGTGCACATCTGTGTGTATTCACAGGTTTCTGCATGTAAGTGTAGCAGGTGTGGGGAGCCATAGCCCTGCCCCCAAGACATGAAGCAGGCATGGGGGAGATCCAGGACCCGGACATCTAGAGGCAGGAGTGTTCTGGCCAATAGAAGCTAAATTCACTTTTACTTTTCTTTGTTTTGTATCACTGGTGTGTATAAGGCCTTCAGTAGGCCCTTTGGGACAACAGTGTTGTTTATTTGTTGTTTATTGTAGGCTGTACTATCTTCACTCTGTGTCATGCTACTGTAATACATCAGTTTCCATTGTGGATCAATAAAGTAGCTTCCAGTCTCTGCCTCCTCATAATAATAATATTAATAATGGTGGTAAATCCAGTTTCATGATATTGGTTAGCGCTCTCGTTCCTCCTCGTACTGATGAGGTTATCTCCCTGTGCCTTCACTGGGTCAACACCACT